AACATCCTTGAGAAATCGACAAACCACTCAATGATTTACTTAAATGCTTGTCAATTTTGGTCGATATGTTGCGTTTACGCTTCTTTGAAGTAGCCTTAGAAATTGTATCATTTAATGGAATTTCCTAATGATAACATAACAAAGAGATCATGAGTCCGATTATTTTTTGTCTTCTGATGAATGTTCTTACCATAATTTGTTCATCCTCTGTCATGTTAATCATTTGATCACCAATGGGATTTGCTTCCATTGTCATCTTATGGACAGTTTATTGTTGTTTGTTTTTTTCAAGTCTTGCTTGTATTAACGATGCTTTGGTCTCTTCATCCAAGTTTCGTCGACGTAATCTTCGTTGGAACTGTTGCTCTGCTCGATTACCACGACTTTGCTTCTTTTTTCGTTTTGTGACTACTATTGGTTGTTGCTGTTGTGGCAGAGGAGATAACAAGTGGGGTGGTGTGCAAATTTGACTAGTCGAAATTTGACTCCACAAACGATTTTGATCATTGGGAATTCGATTATCAGTCATAGTGCTCGTATTAAAACAATGCCTATGAATACAAAATATATCTAAAAACGAAGGAAACCAATCGACATCAGTGTATGTGATAGGATATCAGAAAAGAAAAAAAGCTTGTATTTTTGAAATTATTTATTCAATGCAAATACTAATCTACGTCAAACGAACTACTTCTACGAGTAAATGATTGAAAAGGAACGATGCACCTTAATCCACGTAGTAAAGACGAATTGCGTCTATTAAAGATGTTTTATAGGATGGTTTCCTACAGAAAAAAAAGAATAACAATAAGACATCATCAATGGCGAAAAGAGAAAAGTAGTAATCATGTAATACATACTCGCTTTGTTTTAATCACGTTTGGATAAAGTAAACAGACGAAGAGGTGGTCATTTATTGACAAGCATATCACTATTTGCCAGAGAAGGTGATGTTAGTTCAAGCCATTTGATTTGAATATGTTTCGCTTTTCGTTCATAACCGTAATATTTCTTCCACCAATCTTGAAAACGTTGCTTCAAATTATCTCGTTTTTTTTGATCAAGATAACATAGACATGGCAAAAATAATGTATGTTGCTTTTCTCGTTTACAATGTTGCTTCAATTCCAATTGTCGTTCAATGTCTTGTATAATACGTTGACGTAAATGACCATATTCGTTAGCGTTTAAAAATAATAGAACGAATTTTTCTTCTACACCAAATTCTTGGTAAAAACGTTGAATAGCAGAGGGAATAAATTCTAATGTGAAACCAGATGTAAGAAACGATAGTACAATATGACGTCGTTCATTATGGAATTTCTCGACATCAGAACAGCATCGAGCAGCCCGATATAGAACAGAATGTAATTGTTTTGATTTGTTTTCCATTGATGCATCGGACACATTGGATAAAGTATCAATATTTGGATCATAATAAACTTTACTTTCGAGCGTACCATTATTCATATGGCTGATTTCCAGATCATGAAAGTGTACTGTTGATCCAGTGAACATTTTTATGATATTTCGAGTAAGTTCAGTATGAACAATATCTTTATTAAACAATGTACAAAATTGATCATCGGATCCCTGCCATGTTAAGATTACTTGTTCTCTGTATCTATCAATACAAATAAACAAGAAATAATAACTTCTTACTAAAGGACACATAATCTAAGAGAATTATACCTGCCGAAAAATTCATTTTTTTCTTTCAATATTTTTATAACATCTCGATGTTGTCCATAAAACACATTAATAAATGCCAAGAACATTGTTAATAGTAAACCAGAAGCACCACCATGAATTTGTTGGTACAATTCGTTATTATAAACAAAGAATTGATTTTTCAAAACAAGATGAACCAATTCTAGAACAATATCAATAATAAGACCATCCATCCTGTGATCTGGTAAATGTTCAACAAGAAAATATTTTAAGGATGCCATCATTTGATCATAAGAAAAAATTTTTGTTAGATCATCCATATTGAACGTAACGAAGAGAGCTCGAGGTTTAAGATGAGCCATTTGAGCATGATGTTCAATAGCATGTATAACATCGATAGCACCATTGGAAAATCGTTTGCAATTGGTAGCTCGATCGAAGATTGACCATAGAAGAGGAGCTATATACCGAACTATGTTCATTGTTGGGCCATCATTACATACTTTGATGGGTCGAACTCTAATTCCTTCCTAGATAAGTATTATTACAAATGATGATGAAAACAAAAACAAAAAGAAACAGTATCATATATACCTTGTGAGTTTCTGGTACAAAATAAAGATAACGCATTCGAACGGATGATCCAGTCATATTCATTTTCAAATAATGTGCTTCATTGATACATTTTGTATCAAGTAAATTAACCAATTTCATTTCGACTTGTTCGACTATATTGAGGAGATATATTTGACTGGCGTTTCGATGAGCACCATCTAATTTAAGTATTAATTTGTAGGCATCCGTTCGTTTCACATAATCGATTACTTTTTGTTGAAAATCTTTTTCGGAAGCTATATAAAATGAAGTGCCCTGATAGGGTAATCTGATAATCATGTTGCTAGCGGCCAATTTGCGTTGAATAGATAGTATAGAACGGTTTTCATAATGAGCCTTCCGACGCTCATGTTCATTTAAACTGTTATAGTCCAGCTGACGAATAAACTTCGGTAAATCATTCCAATCCAGATCATATAATTCCTCTGGTTCTCTATGATGATAGGTTAGCTTATTATCTTCATCTTCACCATCATCCTCATCGTATAAAATCCATGCCTCATCATTATCTTCATCGATGGAAGTCCATTCGTCATTATCATCTTCCAATATTGTCGACATACCATTCATGCTATTCTTCTCATTGTATCTATTGTGTTCCATAGTAGTTTCATTCTATGCATAGTCCAAGCAATATGATTGTACTTGAAAAAGAAAAAAAAAATTTCTTACTGTTTGTTCATGTCGAGAAACTTGTGTTTCAGTCATATTCGACTCATACGAATCTTTGTTTTGGATATTCTGACGTTTTGAAAATATCTTGTTTTCATCGTTACATTAATCTTTGGTCATATCTATACCTTACAATGAAAAACAATTACTTTCTTTAGCCTTCTGTAAATAAAGAGACATACGTGTGGTTACTTGATGAACCTCTATGAATTTTGTTCCAGTGAACGTCAAGTTAAGTATAATGATAAAATAAAGTGAAATAATTTAGATCTAGAATGATAAAAATGTGAAATATTTTCTAGAGTGTGGATGTTTAGAGTTACTACAAAACTACAGTTTTTCAAAGTTATTAGAATCTTGTCTAGTGGCAAGTATGTATACGAATGATTCAAAAGAAAATTTCCAAATCACATGTTTATCCTTAGATCTCATGTAAAGAAACTGTCATGACCGATATCAATCTTATTTAAGTATCTCATCAGATGGCATATCTATTTAAGATTCAGAAAGAAGCATCCAAACAAGATATATCTTTATGATTAAAATAAATCTTTAAACAACAAAGAGATCCTATAATAAAATCAGTTGATTCTATCAGGATAAACTACGATGGCATATCTTTTGATGTTGAGTATAGACATGAAAATTATAAAGTCAAAAACCAGTAACTGGATGAGTGATATGAAATATGAAAGAAAGTCTTGTGCAGTACTTACCTTAATAAGAAGACTATGGTTCGAAGCAATGAAGAGACGATAATCAAAATGATTCCTTTTTGCTAGATATCATCGGCTATTTATACTGTTGAATAGAGAGAATGATTTAGAGAAATCGAAAGAGAAAAAGATAATACGTAGAAACTCTCGTTGACCATTGGTTGAAACAATATTTCATGATGAAAATATTTTTTTCCAAGAGAGAGATTAAGAGAAAGAAAAAGATAGATAGAAAGAGGGTCACTGAACCGGAAAGTCTTTAATTGTTCAGACAAATTGATCGATCGATGATCTATTGTTCAAATACGAAGAAATCATTGATCATGTCATTCACTAATTGATGGATCGATCGATTTAGATATTATCTCTGTTCAACGAACTCCTTGAACACGTCATCATTCGATTTATGGATGGTTATTGTCCAGACATGTCAAGATAAAATCAAAAGAACGTTCTACATAGATGAAAACAAAAAAGTTCATCAATCATCTTAAATCGATTAAAAAAGTTAATTTTGATTGATCGCTTCGAATATTCATCTTTATTGCGTTCCAAAAAAAAGGATTTTCGTGTAGCGTCAAACTTACAAGTTCGATTCCATTCTGTTAACTGTACAGCTGACATATTCAAATATTTCATTATAATATTGTTTAGTTTGACTTCTTAACAACTGAATTTTCACACTTTTCATCTGTTTGTGTTTCTCTGATGCTCCAATCGAAAGAGATATAATGTATCTATGTTTTCTTATCTGCCACACTTGTTGCTATATTTTTTGTGTATGATGATGTAGGCGCTAATATTGTTTATAGAAGCCGGCGCACATCCATATGTCTTTGTTAAAAAAA